CCTCTCTCTCTCTCTCTCTCTCTCTCTCTCTCTCTCTCTCTCTCTCTCTCTCTCTCTCTTTCTCTGGTCGTTCGTACAACCGAGTGTTATTATTTCTTCCCTTATCTTCTCCTTTTTCGTTGTTCCACGAAAGGAGATGGACGAGATTGTTGTACGAGAGGAGATGGACGTCACGTCGAGACTCGATGAATTTTCATTGTGTAATTTGTAGGTACATATCCTGACAAACGTTCCACAGTCACGGCCCCTAAGAGCGCAGTAAAACGCAACTTAATTTGAATTATGGCTCGCTACTTTACGACATGACACTTCACACGCCTTGTGTCGCATCGTTTAAAGTCCGACGGCGACCAATTGAAAAGAGGGAGAGAGAGAGAGAAACAAAGAGTGGTAAAATTATGAGTGTACTTTCTATAAATTTCTATAAATAGAATCCCATTCAGAACAAGTTTACTTGAGGCGACAGTGAATATACCTCATCATTCGAATGTTTGAAACTCGTAATAGAGTAGATTCTTAGGTCCTTATTCTAAAAACTCTCTTTTACCTATTAAAATGCCTTTAAATGTGACTGAAAGCCAATCTCAGAAGGCTTATAAGTCACTTAGAGACATTTTTATCAATAACAGAGAGTTTATTATAAAGCCTTTAATCCATAACGCAAAAAATATTTTTAGACAATCTAAAATAAAATATAATAATAAATCTCTAAAAAAACATCCTAAATTTCTTAAAGTAAAATTTTACTTCGAGTAAAATTTCATCCCAAGAAATTTTGAAAATAATCTAAAGTATAACAATAATAAATTCACAGTTTCTCAGAGTGAAATCTTACTTCGAATAAAATTTCACCTCAAGAGAATAATCTAAAATAAAATAATAATAAATACTAAATTTCTTAGAGAGAAGTAAAACCTTACTTCGATTGAAACTTTACGCCAAGAAATTTGGAGAGTACAGAAAATCGCAATGAGACTGCTTCGACACAATTTGTCATATTTTACATGTGTAATAGAACGAATTACAAAACAATGATCGCTTTTCCTCCCGCTATCTCGCGCTCGTCCATGTTTGTCCCGTCGACGTGTTTCGTGACCGATTCTATAATGGAACGTCTCAGCGTAATTACAAGATAAACATTCGTGTTTTCCTTATCGATGTTTAACGTCACCTCACGCGAGACGCGGTCGGCTGTTTGCTTGCTTGCTTGCTCATCCAGCCGGCTGTGACCGTGCCCTGAACAAAATGTCTCCCCCTCGAAGTACACTACATGGGGTGGCAACGGCAATGATACGTTTGTACAGAACGGTTTGTACAAAAGCAATTTGCACGACGGGCATTGGAACTAGCAATTCATCATCGCACTTTGAATGATCAAAGTCGCTTGGGCGACGTTGGAGGGTGTTCTTTTTTTTTTTTTTTTTTTGCGAGATTAACAACCGATGGATGGTGCCGCTTTTTGTTGAAAGAGAGCTGCCAAAACAAAGTCTATGTCAATTATAACAACTGTTCGATTTTGATGACGATCCTACAATGAAAGGCAATAGGCGAAATGTTGGAGAGAGTTATTAAGACTAGCGTGTAATTAAAATAGCGTAACCTTCATAGAGGTACATAATGGCAAGGTCGCGCCTTTCCAAGATAATGCTCTTTGTACAATGTGGCGATAGTAGGTCATCATCGTTTGCTCTGCGCCGACGATGTCATAAACTATGATAACGATTATGCACAAGTGGTGAAAGAGAGAGAGAAAGAGAGAGAGATGCCCTTTTTAAATACACACTGATTTTATCTAATTAATGGCTTAGAATTGCCCTTGGAATTTTGATGTTACGATAATCGTGAACTATAATAGTTTCATATTTAATTAAACATTATGTTTTATTGTAGTGTATCAAGATTATGCTAGGTTAAAGACCAGTTTATATTACCAGTAATACATTGCTAATAATACTGTTTTTGACAATATTGATGACAAAACTATCAGCATGTATGTAAAATAAGTGACTTTTGTTAATAACATTTGTTTCCTGCAAAATATTTAAAACAAATGTTACTAACATTTTTCATTCTAAAATAACAAGGTTAATAGCAAAATATGATTTACTTGCTTTATAACTTCCTGGAAACAATTGTTTTCAGCAAGTTATAAAACAAGTCTACATTGTATTTTTATTCAGATTGTATGTTTCTAGCAGTATCACACATCTGATTAGATTGTCTGACTTAAAGTTGCTAAAAACAATTGTTTCCAACAAATTATAAAACAAGTCAATCATATTTTGCTATTAACTTTGTTATTTTAGAATAAAAAATATTAGTAAATGTTACTAATATTTTTAACATTTTGCAGAAAAAAACGTGACAAAAATTACTTATTTTAGTAATATGCTAATAGCTTTTTTACCAACATTGTCAAAAACATTATTTCTGCAACTTATTATTGAGCGATCTAGATCAAAGGATGTTGAAAGCAAATGTTATTAGTAAAAAATTGAATTAGACATGTGTTAACAACACTGTTAATAATAAAGATTTTTTGTCTCGACTTGACTAATTATACTATAAAAGATGTAAAATTTGTGTATAGCACATCTTTGTATCGTTTAAAGTTTTCTAACTTTGTTGAAAACATTTGAGAATATTTTTTTTGCTAATAATATTACTATTTACAGTTTTATCATGGTAAATAATTTTTTTAACTTTGTGTTTTCTGCATTGTTAGAGATATAATTTGTTAGAAATATACAGTAAGTTGTTTTCTAGGAGAACATAGCTTTGCTAAAAACATCTTTGTTATTAGCTTTTTGCTATTAACATTATTATCGCTATTTTTTCAGTGTAAATCGATCTTAAGTTTAGATCACCTTGTCTTGATAAAGTGGATAAGCAAATGACATATAAGAATTAAAAATTATTTGTCTCTTATAAAGCGGATAATCAACTGACATATAAGAAATAAAAATTACTTGTCTTTCATAAAAAACAGACGCGATTAAAAAACGAAATAAAGCGAACGCTTAACTGATCACTTTCATATCTCAATTTGATTTACTCAATTTGACTCTACAAATGTTTGAATCCTTTCCTTGTTGCAGACAAAATGTCGCGGAAAAGCAGAAAGCGGAAGTCAGATGGCGAAGAACAAACGACGGTCGATGGAGAACAGGACAATTTCTTCTCCGACGAGATACGAGACGAAATGGAAACAATGTGGGAGGTAATTGAAAGATTTTGCTCTCTATAGTGGATCTTTGCAGTTGTTACTTACGAATTGTTTCACACGATATAACCATTTCAGATACCACAAATCTTCCACTTCCTCCATCTCACAAGAGAATCTCTAAATATACCTCAATTATCAATGTACGAAATGGAAAGGATGCTTTCGATACCAAGAGCGTCGAAGCAGTTAGCAAACATCATGACGTGTCTGCTAAGGTTGTTATACCGGTTATTCGATATCTGTCTGTCAAAGCGAAAAAAATATTATTAAAATTATTAAGATAAATGATGAATTGAAAAACTGAATTGAAGTACATATCTCGGGGCTTTCAGATATACGATTAATTAATAAATAAAACGCCATTAAGAGCTAGCGCACAGATTGTTGGATGTTATAAAGGAGGGATTTCTCTGTGATTTCAGCTCTCCAATTACCAAAGCAAAGCTACGCAAGGTACCACCGATGCCGTATGAATTTTGGACCAACATCTTGACGCACAAGATGGCGAGTTGGTTCAAAGTTTATCATGCCAAGCACAAAGATGCCACCAAAGTACGTATACTCCCGCAAACTTACTTTATAAACTGACGATCGCGTCGCAAGCTACGATCTGTAGCGTCCTGGTATCTTAGACACATGTCTCCAAATATCTCAGACACATACACGCACACGTAGCGTACACGTCAGTGACACATCAGTGACCGGAAACGTGAACAAAGATTTTTAGGTTCTAGAAACCATCGGCGTCGAGCCAGAATTTTGGAACATGTTCCCCGATGCTTCGCTGCTCGACGGCAAGGATTTTGAGAATATGAGCTTCAGGCAGAGAACTTGGCTATTGAAAACTGTCTGTGATACAATCATGGTGAGTCCTCGCGATAGAGTTCCGGAAATGAGAGGAACGACTAATCACATTGATCGTCCATCATTTTTTATAGCATACGAGAAAAACAGTTCAGGAAGACATGGCGAAGCAACCGTGGGAGGACCAATTCGAAACGAGTCTAGGACTGGATCGTTACGGGGCGAGATACATTTATTTTCCACAATTCATCGCGACTGATCTCAGGATTTACAGGCTTTGTCTGGACAATAAAATCTTGTCGACTGTCAGGGTAATTTGTTTAAGCATCTGATATGAGACAACTTGTAAATGCACAGATATGTTATGAATGATTGAAATATATTATATCCCTTGTAGCCTATGAAACCAAAGCAAGAGGCGAACTTGGAAACGAGCAATTCGTTCCGCGCAAAATTGAATAGATATAGAATGAGGAGAGCGCAATCGAGCAATAATCATAACAACAAGAATTTGTCAGAGCAACCAAACGGACGCGAGATTAAAGTCGAGGATAAGGATCTCAGTTACAAATGTAATATCGACAGCGCGACGAACTCGTTCATCAGCGAGGATACGAACCTAAGTAGTACAAGCACGTGCAGCAACAACAACAACATCAGTTTGGACGCTATCAATAGGAAGCGTTCCAGGAGTCTGTCGAAGATGTCTGAGGAAAGTACGATGTCGAACGCGAGATCCAGCGGTTACGACACCAATACCTCCAGTGACAACCGGTCTCTCGACGATGACGACGTTAAGGTGTTCAAAGGTTTCTCCGACATTCAGGGCGATAATTGCAAGATCGGCATGATTAACGAAATGTTGGACGACTTGAAGACGGAGATCGAAGACGGGAAGACGAACGGATGTGAGAGCGACACCAGGAGTAACGGATTAACGTCGCAAGAGGACTTCGAAGGTTTGTGCAAAAAGACAGAAAATTTGTGCGTTGAAGCAACATTGACTGTTGAGAAAGACAAAAGTGAACGATCGGTGGATAGTTTAATCGACACTTCGAAGACGGACGATGAGAAACTGAACGAAATAATCAGTGCCGAGAGTACCAAATTACTTGCAGGTGTAAGTTCCAAAAGTGTCTCAGCCGATGATGACGTAAGTGATAATATATCAAAGTCATCATCCAAGTCGGACGACGAGAAGCTGAGTGAAACTAAGACCAACAGCGGCAATATTAGCGCTAGTTGTAAAGAGAGAGAGAACGGTGTAAATAAAAATATTACTTTTAACGGGTTGCACCGTGCATCCTTTAGCAATAACGCATCCCCTAGCAATAATGAACTGTTAAGTGAACAAGTGACTAGGAGTAAAAACAAAGAGGGCATCTCCCCGGCGATCAAAACAGAGTTGAAGAATTCGGTTCCAGAGAGAACCTCGAGCAAGAGACAACTACGACCTCGCCACCGAGCGGCGCAACGTGACGCGGAAGATAAAACCGTAGTGGTGAAAAAGGAGACGAAGAAGCGAGTGGAGTTGGAAGACGATGCGAATGAGAATTTGTCTACGAGCGATGCACGACTGGAAGATTATGATTCCGACGATGATTACGCGCATTCTGAAAACGGTTACAATCTACGAAGATCCAACCGTCCGAAAACGGATGAGTGCAAGGAGCATTTCAACAAACTGCTGTCGGATCTTAGCGTCTCCGACTTTCAATTAGTAGCCGACAGCGTGGAAAGCTTAAAGGATCTCATTTCTAGTTTTACGGAGGAGGAATCGAAAAACGCTTCTAGCAATATTGTAAGTCCGACAACCTTAACAATTTCATTGGACATCTTCTGTTTCACGACTTATCCGCTACAGTCTCTCGTACTTTGCAGGCCGATATTATTCCTTTGTGTGAAATCAAATTGGTCAAGAAACTGACTGAATTGTTAAATTCCTTGGAGAACGTGGAGACCATCTTGAAGGATTCTACGCGAAAAGCAAAGTCCAAGTTACAAAGGGAATGGTCTAACTTTAAGGAAGGGTACGTATATCAACACATCTTTTATATCTTTTGTTTGATATGCGAACTAATCGGATATTGTTCAGTATTCGTTCATCTTCGCGCTAACACAACATAGAAATATGTAGTTGAAAGTATAAAAAAAAAAGAAAGCAATGTCATCTCATGGTATATCTCATGTCATATCATTCGGCACTACTAACACATTACTCCGCAAAGTCAAACGATAATACGTGTTGTGAAATAAACAACAACACGTATCTTTATTCGCGCATTTTCATTTGTAAATAGACAATTCGCGCTGCCTGACACCTCTTAAGAGAAATGCTACAATGCTACAATCCATGTGTGATTTACAGTGTGGGTCGCAATCCCACACTGCACATTGATTCATATGTCGAGCATGTATGGCAGACAAGCTGGTGTGTGTTGTAGCAGTGTGGAGGATCAGGATTCATCCGGTGAGGGTGGTCTCAGCTCTAATTGGTGGGTTCTTGGATCGCAGGGCTGTCCACTGTCAGCTCCCGGAGACGCAACGTTACAAACGTTACCGCAGCTTGCCCTATCCTCACTTGGCTCCCAAAGCCAACAGCCGCGACCCGAAACAAGCGAACACGAGAGTGCGGGCAAGAGCACCGAGCGGGGTCACTGCGAGAGCCGGAAGAGCAACGGCGAACGGCGAAACAGCGGCGAGAAAGCGGAAGACGAGGCCAGAGGAAGAGACCAAGTCGAGGAAAAGGAACAGGAGCGGAAACGTAAACGGGAACATAAACACAAGGAGAACGAAGTCACGGCAAACAACGAAGGTAATTCGTTTTGTTTTGCTCTTACTACTCTACCGTCCCTTTCCCGTTTATTCAACTTCAACTTCAGAAGACGATGTTTATACATGTTAGTATGCATCCATTTTTAAAAAAAGTGTGAAACCTCGAACTTGAATGTATCAAAGCGTTGAGGCCTCTTTTTTGCAATGGAGAGTGAAAGAGAAAGAAGGAGGTAAATGTTGAGAATAAAAATGTAAATGATGTTCGAAATAAAAACTCTTATAACTCTTATATTATTATAATTATATACATGATTGTTAAATATAAAATATATTGGTCGGCATAACAGCACTAACACGTGAAGTTACACTAGTACATATAAGTAGAATGTTAAATAAAAGGATTAAGAGCATATTCACAAGAAAGAGAGGAAATATCTTTCTTTTTTTTTTAATATGTTGTCTGTTCTCATAGCAGAAGCAGAACAGCAACAAACACGACGAGTACTGCGAGCACGTGGCGTCTCTTCGTACACAGAACAACTTTACTCGGACGACGAGAGCGACCAGGACGAGCTGGAAGAATGGACCGACGTTGAGGCAGTCTACGCGGCTCCCGGCGCACCGACCGATACATCCACTTCTCACGCTGCTCCGAAAGTCCGACACTCTGACGACTGGTCGGAAACAGAGGATTCAGACCAAGATTGGATTCTACCGGGAACTCGCAAAAGGAAAAATAAACGTCCGTGTGAGTGTCGTGTTCATAGATTTCTTCACGCAATACTCTTAAAACAGTATTCATAATCGGATTTTATATTTAAAAGTGCCTTAAGCTCATCACCAGATGCTGTGTATGGATTGTTTCATTGGCTAAGCAGCGTTCGGAAACTCAGCCCCACGGATTAAGTCGGGTGAATGACGCTGGGGGCAAGTAGTTTCCGAACTGCAAATAGAGAAAATAATAAACAATAGGTCTAATTATTTATCGTTGAAATAGTGTACATTGATAAAACTTCTGAAGAAACGGATATATAGTTAAAATTTAGTAGAAAAAAAAGAAGAGAACTAGTTCTAGTGCAAGTTATAGTGCAATCAGTTTTTAGAAAACAAACCTAATAAAAAATAAAAATATCAGTTTTTGCTGGATTAAAATTAATGAAAACAAATTTCGGGCAATTTACATCCTGACAGAAGTAGATGATCTGAGTAAAGTTTTCGAACACAGCTCTACGGAGCATCTGAGGGTAAACTCAAAGACAATTTTAAATATACTAATATAGTAAGATCCGGCTATACCGTCTTTAGACTGCCATCAGGTGTACTTGGTCATAATGCACAGATAATAGCTGTTGCTATATTTCGAAAAGGCAGGTGTAATGTGCATGTGACAATATGTAAAAAAAAAACAGAATTTAAAACTTCAAAAATATGTAATATTCACTAGAAGAAAAATTTTTTCTTAAAATTGTGAATTTTTTTTTAAATCTTATGCATGTGTAATTTTTATATTAAAAACACATTAAACAAAATATTAAAAACTCATATGTATGTACAAAAGTAGAGATCAATTTTTTTTTATTTTAAAATAAACAAATGACATTTTAATTAAATGTAAAGTACACGTAAACTTATATAATTATACTTCGCTATCTAAATATACTACATGTTATAGAGACAATTAAAAAATTAATTAATTAAAATTTAAATAATTAATTAAAATTAATTAATTAATTAATTAATATTTGACACAAGCTGAATTTTATTCTCCTAGTTCGTTAGATCTGCTATATGCTGACAATCAATGCAAAATTGGATATGTTTGTCTTCCCAACAACTATTTTTACCACAAATTGCAGCTGGCATCAGTTTTGCGATCATACTTATACAATTGTTAACGATTTAAATATCTTATATAAAAATTTGTAAATGTGTATCTTTTAGAAGAAAATTGTCTGTTGATAGCCAAAAAGGCCAAATCCAGCAACTTGTTCTAACTTGTACACTTGTATTGTTTCAGCTGCCAATCGAAGATTAAAATCTTTCCAACACAAGCTGCAAAACATCCGAGAGAATGCATGTCAGAGCAACGTAGTGTCTAATGTATCTAATTCTACTAGCGGGAAATCCGGCAACGATAAATCTAAAGATAACAGCAAACGTCCGACTGATTCCCCGCGAATCATCTCAAATGGTCGCGAGCGCTGTCCTCCTATTAAACGAGCGATTCCTGCAGATCCTAAGCAAGTAGTGCCTTCCACGGATACAATCTGCAAAATCGAGACTGTCGAAAGCGTACACTCAGAGTTAGACATCAAGGACGAGGGCCCGATCTATGATCCTAGCACAGTTCAGTACAGTGAGAACAACTACAACTCGAACCTTCAACAGAACTACATAGTGAAGACCGACTCGGCGCCCGTAAACTACTATGTAATGCAGAATGTCGGAATGCCGACTACGCCGGTGATCGGGCAAAGCTACTACATCCAGGGCACACCAAGTTACTTGATACAAGATCCACAAACGAATTTCTTGCCCTCCGCACAGCAACAGCCGCAGCAACCGCAGCAACCGCAGCAACAGACCGTGATTTACCAGCAACAGGCAATATTGACGCAACCGTTCGTTAATAATGTCAACTATACGCCCTACACAACGCAGTCGCAGTACAACATAGTCGCTACCAACCCGCCAGTGACGAGCCAGCCACAGTTAAGGCCGCAAAACGCGGCTCCTTCCGCACTAAGGATGCAGGGTCGATCGGTCAGTCATCAAAACAGATACATCGCGCCGCGACAGAGCCTGCCACCTAACGCCACAATGATAAGAAACAACGCACCTGTCCGAGACAACTGCCCGAGACTCAACAATCCCAAATTCGTGAGAGGCAAGACCCAACAACAACAACGTGCGTCTAATCCCAATGTAACGCCAAGGCGTAGACAAGCACAGCAGGCATCCGCGGATAACACCGGTCAAAAGACCACATCCTTGATCGTGCTGAGTGACAGTGACGACGAGATAGAGATGATTATCACGGAGAAAGCCACGACAAAGAGCGGCAACGTCGAAAGGAACAAGGAAAAAGGCACGCCGACCTCAACAACGGATAGAAGCAAAGTGACGCCTTCGAGAACCGTGAATACGGTATGCCAGAAACCCATGATCACCTCGGATACTCTGATCTCCTCGACAAAAGGTATCATACCGCCGCAGATCATCGAACGGATGAATCAAGGCGGCATATCCATCACTCCGGTGAAAAGTATCGCTCCGCAGACGGCGCCGAACGCGAACACACAGCTGGTAGTGGTCGTGAACGAGACCGGGAGCCATTATGCATTATCATTACCCAACGGGAGCAAACTGATACTCACTCCGGAACAAGTGGCGCAGATCAGAGCGTCAAACGGCGGCAGACTGATCTTGTAAGACTTCTACGACGTCGTGTTTGCCGGTCTTCCTGAACCATGGGTTGCGTGTATTGTATGTATGTACGCGTGAATGTACGAGTTCGACTTGATTCCTAATCCATCGCGAACTAGAATGATTTGCGACCACTGAGCAAATGTGATACGCGACGGGTCGATAAGGTAAAAGAAGTGGTCGCCGGACACGAAAACTTTTCACTATTAGTCTCGAATGATTCTATTTTCCTTTCTATTGTAATATAAACTCTTCAATAAAGTCATTTGTATCAGTTCAATTAGTTTATGTATGCAATACATTACTACAATATGTACCAGGTGTACAAATCAGTTGTGAATTAATTAATTATTATGCAACGGTAATTACAGAAGTTATGCATATTTTAGCTTAAATATAATTTATAAAGTGTATATAAATAAATTATCACAATTATATTACCAGTGGAATCGTCATAAATAGATGATAAATCATTTCATCTGCACGATTGTTATGCCTGGATATAGGTCCGGGAAGGTTTAACAGTCAGATCAAACGTTCTCGTTTTAGTCGGATATCGGTTCATTCATATGTTCTAAAATTGACGTTATTTTTCAAATATTTTAAAAACTTTTCATTTTTCATGTGTTAATAACAAATGTTTACACTTCGGCTTATAATTAATTATATAATTATATAATTTTACAGTATTAAATACTGTGTGCGTATCATAAAAATTAAACAATCATATCTTCTACGTCGTTGAATGTCCAGCTGTTGGGAAGTTTACTCTAATTTTGCTCATTCTTTTTTTCTCACACCTTGTGAACTTCGTTAATTAGACTGTAAGAACAGAAAACAGAAAAGCTGCGTTCTGTAATATGCATAAGCGCACATTTACCTATAGTTTGTGTTTTGTATACTGTAGAAAATTACGCGCATATGCGTATTACGGGACGCGGCCAGTGCTCGTTGCAAGTGCTCGGAGAAAATTAATTTAAAGACCTTAAAACGTATTTGTAAGAAGCAAGCCGTTTTAGCACCGTGTAGACGAAATTTTTTATTATCTCGTACGATCCTAAGAAGATATTGTTTCTTATGATAAGTTCCAACAGTTTACAGTTCACGTGATGCTATTAAGTATAGTACAACGCTCTGTGAAGCGCAAATAATGAGCTTGCATGAGTCACCGAACTCATATTAATTTCTTTATACATCTTCGTATCATTTAAAGAATTACACTGAGAATACTAAAGAGTTTTATGATAATTAATATGTATTTGTTCATTAAAAAACATACATGAAAAATAAAATGAGATCTTCGTCGTCGACAAAGTCGCATTTGTAGAATTATGTAATTAATAAGTAAGTCGCATTCGTGACATTTGTAAAAATATGTATAGAAAGTTCCGTTTGGCTCGCGATACGATAAAAGAGATCGAACGAATTGTATTTGTGCACACGCACATTCGTAACCGATGCTAATTTTGTAAAACGACAAACACTCACGAAGATATAGATATGCCATTAACTCTCATATCTATAGTAGACATAAATTATAAAAATTTCACAAAAAAACATCAGGTAGAGCGTCCGGCTCTTCTACAGACAATTAAAGTATTAATTAGCGCGCATTTTCTAGAAAAGAATTCATAGTGCATAATTAAGTAACTAATTTTTCCATTTAGATCATAAGATAATCATTTACACAGTAATGATAAGCGCATTGAGTTGAAAAATTGCCGACCCTCTTGCACGAGAAGAATGCTTGTAATTAAAATCTGACGATGTCGTGGTTTAGATTTTCATCAGTCCATCTCTTACATTAATTTTTCAATTCGATTAATTTTTCAACTCATCTAAAATATCTGATATATTTCTCCAATGTGTGTGCCGCAACAATGCCGCAACAAAATTTACATTGTAACCCGCGTCTAAACACTGGGAAACTATTCTTGAAAATATCACCCTAATAAATGTACTAATATATTGATTTACACGAACATACATTATTTACGAAGTATATACGAGGAATATATGTTTCATCACGAATATATTACTCTCTTCGCCTACATATCTGTATAAATGTACAAGTTTCAAACAAACAAGAAGGAGACACACTCAACGTATGTTACACAAATAAAATCTCGCATTGCACGACGGGGATCACGTTCGTTTACTTGCGTTAAACCGAACGTTAGGAACGTTAAAGTGTTTTGAGGCAAGCATCGCGGGAATAAGCGGTAAAAATAAATAAAAGCGATCATTATGGGACCGGCCCGCGCGATCGACCATATAAAAATTGACTCTCTCTTTCTATTATGTATCAACACTTCGCCGACGAGGGCTGACACTTTGCTCTGCAGCGGGCAAATCCAAATAAAACTTCGAAAAAAATCATTCTAGAAAGGTGCTCTCGAGAGCGAAACGGTTCGAGCACTTTTTCTCCAATAAAGTTGCGGCGCTCCGCAATTGCTAACAATTCTGACAACTCAAAGTGCTGCAACTTTATTGGAAAAAAAAGCGTTTCGCTCTCGAGTATATATATTAACAAATATACATATTTTATATATTATTTTACATATTAACATAAATAATATAATCATCCAGATGCAGCAGAATCTTCTAGAAGACTTCTTAAAAACGCCTGAAAGACATCTGAAAAAGTAGAATGTCTTTTAGGGCCGATTTTTCAATAGCAGTTTAAACTTGGATTCAAATTTAAACTCTATTTTAACAATGCGTTTGTTTTGTTCAAACAGAGTTTAAATTGAAATCTAAGTTTAAATTGTCATTGAAAAGTCGGCCCTTAGACGTCTTTAAGATATCGTTAAGACTATTAATAATGATTACATGAAACTTATGTCTCAAGTGAAATAATCAACATTAAATTAGATGCTAAAATTAGAAGAATTTTTCAGTGAGACTGCGATTGCAAATATAATGTCACGTATATCATGCAATTCGACTGAAAAATTCAGATTTAACTCAAAAGCTCGTATTATGAGTTATTACTTGAAACTTGTCTCACATGATATACTCACTCAAATAACACAAGACGACCTGTGGTCATCTTATGTATGCCCAGAAGGTTTTGGGGCACTCTCTCGGAGTTTAGATATATTCTAGGATATATTGTAGATATTTAGGTAGATTTCAATTCAGAATTAAATCTGAAATTTTTAGTCAAATCATATATCTAACTGAAACGTATCTGAAGCTTATATTAATAGTTATCACCAGAAACTTGTCTCATGTGAGATACTCAGATTTTTACTTAGAGTTAAACCAAAATTTCTCAGTTGAATTACATTTATATCTGTATGTGACATTTATATATTTTTTTGTTCTTTTGACATTTACATTCTTTTTTATTCTTTAAACGATACGAAGTAATACGAGTATATATTTTCTTCTTAATTGCGATTAAACTGAAAAATTCTCACCTAATTTTGAATTCAAATCTGAGTATGAAAAGAATCATCTCACTTGAAAAGAATATCAAATAATAACTATTAATAAGATCTAAATTCAAATTTGAATATCTCACTTGAAACAAGCTTGAAGTAATCATTGCCAATGTAAATTTAAATTAAGATCTGCACATCTCAAGTGAGATAAGTTCAAATAATGACTATTAATAAGCCTGCTATTACAAGCCTACGTCTTTTACAAATCCCTGCTACCTGGGCAATATATAACAGTTGTTTTTCTGGAAAAGGAACAACGCGTTTCATTAGTAGCTTTGTGCTCCGCATAAAATGTAGCATTACACACGTTCTATCGGCGAAGTGTTAATCGGATTACAGGAACTGTCCAAGCGACACTTGTTTCGAACGTATTGAGACTCAAGCGTGCGAACACTTGCGACTGCATCGACACACAGGCATCTCCGTTGCGTCCTTGGATGCAGCCGCTCTCCTTATACTTGATTCTTCCGCGCGTACAGTAAGTCTTTGTCGAAGGCCAAGAACTTGGACAGGCGTGTCCCGTTATAAGGCGTGTCACTTCCTGGCGGGTGAAGTCTCATCTAAAACAAAGGCCGACGTCAGATAATAATGATGACGATGGTAATCATCGCCGTGAACATCAGCGGAGATAATTGATCTGCACGTAATTAACACCTTCCTCCCGCGAGATTCGCAATTGTTTCCTCTTATCCGCGATACTTAATGCTAACGAAGAAACTGCGTACGTACCGCCACGTGCTTCCTCCCAGTCTCGACGCATCTTTTCTCGATATCTTGACGAAAATCAATGGTGAGAGATCATATAACGAATAATATCTATTTATTCTGCAAAGGTTGTTTATTTGTGTGTATGTGTGTGTGTACATATATACTGTTTGTATACGTTGCGACATAGAAGAACCAGAATTTGTTTACATATACGACGATAGATTGGAGAGACTTGTTCGCGATATCTCGCATCGTTGGACAAAATACTAAGCTCCAATTGTTCACGAACAAAGTTTTCTGGCTGCTTCATTGTTATACCTGATTGCTTTGATACAGGGTTGCGAGTAATTAATTACCTTTTTAATTAATTATCGTGTTTAACTGACGATTAATATGAGCCTATTCATTTAGAGACCGTTCAATTCGCCATTAATTTCAACAAATTCTATCGAAGACCGTTCGACTGACGACTGATTTCAACGAATCCAATTAAAGACCATTCAATTGACGATTGATATAAATGAGAGGAATTAAAGATCATTCAATCGATAATTGAACTTAGCAAATTTCATTCAAGACCGTTCAATCGACGATTGATATGAGCAAACTCAATCGAAAATTCAATCGAAAATTGTTTCGATTTCGAAAATTGTTTCGAAAATTTGTTCGATGTTTTTACGATTGATATGATCAGGGCTGTGTTCCAAAACTCTACTCGACGGGTAGAACAGTATTTAATTGACTAATTAAAACAAAGATAACTAAGATTTCTTTATCATGATTGGTTAATTGAACGTTACTCTACTCGTCGAGTAGAGTTTTGAAACGCAGCTTTCCTCAACGCGAGTTCTACTTTTTCAAGTAGCACAAAATATTCTATGAATATTCTTATGACACATGAATATTCTTATGACATGAATATTCTTATGACACATGAATATTCGTATGACACATGAATATCCTTATGATACAAATATCCTTGATATATTCCAAAATATTCGAATCGAATGAATCTATGAATATACGTGCAATATTTTATATATGGGCAAAGAGATTCTTATATTTATAATAGAAAAGAATGTACTCAGAACATTCATAAGATTTATTTACTGCGCATGTGCGCAATGCATTCGTGTAACTGTAAAGTTTTCCTAATGTCCCAAATAGTAATATTTATTATAGCTCAGCAATGATATGTATCTACGAAATAAAAATATTTAAATTATTCCTTTATCATTTTAAAATTCAACGATTAACCTACATTTTGCCCAGACATCACCCGATATTCTATGGATATCCTATGGACGTTCTTTGGATGTTTTTAGGAGATTTGGGGAGTGTAAACCTCCTATGCGCATTTATAGTTGTGAATATACTATATACTATGAACATACTATGAACATATTATAAACATATAATGTTTATAGCACATTCATAAAATATACGAATAGTAAATATATTCATAAAACGTTCATATAAAATATTCCTGTGCTATCTGGAACAGCGCTTCTCAATTATCAGCACCCTTCGCGATGTGACGATGTTCCGGGTGCGAATATCACGCACAAAAGCAATTACAATCTTGAGTAATTCAATGCTCTTCGATTGAATCGATTGAATTTGCTCGTATCAATCATCAATTTAATTTGACACTCAATTTGCTAAGTTCCATCGTAAATTAAACGGTCTTTAATTAAATTTGCTAAATCAAATAATCAATATTTCGATTAAACGATCTTTGATTCCCTTTTGTTGCATGTATGCATTGCGCATGCGCAGTAAATAAACTTTACGAATATTCCAAGTACATTATTTTCTATTATAAATATACAAATCTCTTTATATAAAGTATTGTATGTATATTCATAGAACATTCCATTCGAATACTTTCGAAGAACATTTGTATTTTATAAGAATATATTTATTCATCAGAATATTTTGTGCTACTTGGAAAAGTAGGACCCGCGTTGAGAAGAGCACTCATTATTCAGTTATATCAATCGTCAATTGACCGATCTTCAATCAAATTCGTTGAAGTCGATCGTCAATGAAACATTTTCCACTTGATTTCGCTCAGATCACTCGTCGATTGGTTAAATTGAAACAAATTTGTTCAGATCAATTAATTTTAGATTAATGTTAATTTGAGAGAAATTCAATTGGCATTTTTATAACTCTTTGTTTTGATGTCATCGCCTCGTCAATCGGATACTTTCGATTCCTCCGCCATAAATCACGCAACTAATCATGCGTAACCGTCAGGAAACGCAAATGCGAATATGATTGATCGGATGAATTGCTAACGATGCGGCTGACATAGCTACGTATTAGCTGGATTCGCGTACATGAAAGCGGCAATACTTTCCGAAGCTCCGTTCTCAAAATGGTTAATTAATCAATTACCCAGCTCCGTTGCGGTTAGTTTTATTAATAACGTTAAATAAAAATAAGTCCCCCTTAACAAAGCTCAAATATGGAGCACCTTTGTCGTTCCTTATCGGATCTTGTGTGTCCTACGGCAGATTCCAAGAGAGAAAAACAGACTTCCATTCACGAAGTACATGTGTTTGATCCTCTTACAAATATCCTGTGTTCGTACGTGTGTTCGCATGTGTTTGTTAATTAATTTCCTTTATTATCCATTTCTTCATCTTTTGAGTATTTAACGAAGCAACTTGGCAGATAGCTCAAGACATCCCAGGGCTTTCCTGGACGCTCTCCGGACGTCCCGGGACATATTTCAGGGCATCTCGGACATGTTAGGAATGATTGTGGAACGTCTTGCGCTACCTGGGCGAGATTATCGATGGTATGACGCGTTCAGCTAAGCGATTTAACATAACAGTGAATTATCTGTTGCGATGATGATACATGAAGAAATGGATAATGCATTGATCTCAGGCGATAACTACGAGTGTTATCTACGTCGCCGCCGATACTAAGTATTATATTGTGTGAGTATCGAGCTCTCTCCTGGACGATGCAGCTCAGCGAGCATTAGTATGGTGTGGCATTGATTTTATTTGGATTTTATGGTATTGCGTGTGCGTGGATTGACGTGCAGCCTCCCGTGCCCGTTTTACTTCTCGACGTAGTCGTTGTCAACGGCTTTTGCATCCCCGTCCGGATTACTGAATCGCTTCTGCAACGAGAAAAAAAACCGACACCAATCCGTTACACGCAGCGCTCTGTTATGATGAGGATGGCGTGAGTCGCGGGCGCATTCTTTTTCTTTCTTTCATCGTTCCCGTTTTCTTTCAAGCTAAAATGGCATTGACTCTCGCTTCGCAAGCGTTTCATCTCGGCGATATCTCAGCGGTGGCGTTCGGGTTTCATCGAGAATCAGAGACGTTTACGCGATACAGAATGCTTCTTTTGAATGTCCGTCGTACAAATTGCTCGCAACATTGTTTAAGCAAATCACTCCACGACTGCACGACTTACTCTGGCGACTTATTCCCGCGCGTGACTCGCTCCGGCCGAGCGAGCAGAACTCGGAGACGGAACCAACGGAAACGCACTCACCATGATTCTATACTTCTCCTTGCAGGCGTACTCGGTCTCGTCCACGTCGTTGTAACAGTCGCTCTTGTAATCCTCAGGTATCGGGCGACCCTCGAACTGACAGAGCCTGGACAACGGCCTCGCCTTGACTAGCATCTTCTCGAAACCGATCGGCTTGTGTTGCGGACAGTAAAACACGTCCGGGGTGTTCTTGTCGAAGACGATGCTCTTGCGCATAATGTCGCCGCATTGCACCGCGACGAGAAGCGTCTAATGCAAATGCAAACGTGACTGAAGGAAAGGAATTCCTTCGAGAGGAAGCCCAGACAGCACAACGTCCAAAATCGGGTCATAAGACGTCTTTAAGATATCTTTAAGACAAGTTTATAAGGTATTGTCTTAGAGATGTCTTAAAGACGTCCTAAAGACGTCTTATGACTCGATTTTGGACATTTGCACTGTCTGGCAGGTCCGATCGTTTTCCTCGATTTCCTGAGAATTTCCGCGACAACATTATACACCACTACATTTATAATTATATTTGATAATTATAATTACAATTATATTTAATAATTGTAATTTTTACACTTGATAACTAGAATTGCAATGACATTTAATTCAAATACAAATATAATTATATTTAATAATTGTAATTATATTTGATAATTATAATTGCAATTATATTTAATTTAAATATAATCATATTTAATAAAATTATTATTTTAAATTATAATTATTAAAATCATTATAATTCAAGATAATTCAATCTATTAAAAGATGTCCTATTTCTTTTAGACATATTTGAGAAGTTTTTTTAGTAATTTGTGCTATCTAGAATATTATATTAAAAATGATAAGTATTAAATCAAGTTAATATATATTAAGTTATATATTATAATGAAATATTTAAAATATATAATTATAATTTAATTACGTCGCTATATATATAAAATTATATTGAAAAAATCGATTGTCTTGAGTTTACACTGCGCAAGCAGTTTCTTATTTCGACAGATCGGCGAAATTCACGTTTCGTACACGATTTCGGCTCACTGCTGTCGTTTCGACTTTCCGCTTGGAAAATTGCATGCGGAGAAAACGATCGGTTGCCGGCATGAGGAAGTGCAGGAGAAAAAGTGCATCCAAGAGTACGCGAATGGAATGAAAGTTCGGCCACTTACGGCGAGTACGACGAGCAGGCTGCAGACGTAAATGTTCCCTGCAAAACAGACAGACAGTGCGAAAAGTATGAGTCAGCGCGGAAAAATCGCGTAAATCGCGTAACGGTGTAAGGGAAAAAAAAAGTAAAGAACGGAAGAAAAAATAGAGAAAGGATCCGGAACATATAGCCGGCGGCGAACGAACTTGCGTAAATGAATCTCGCAATTCTCGTTAGAAACACGCCGAGGACAAGAACGACGTGTATATAGACAATGTATATGACAACTTTATAAGCATAAGCATGAATTTTTATCTTCATACCCTTTAAATTTTTCAGAGTCAAATTGCACTGAAGACACGAGTGTGAGAATTCACGATGGAAATATTGCTACTCGAAGTTACAAGAGTGATGAAATGCTTAAAATTCCAGCTTCGAGTAAATCCTTAATTAGAGTGAATTTGTTCCTGCACAATAGAGTTTATCACTCTCCAATTTGGGATGAAAATATCTACGATTCAGAATTCCATGAAGAAGAAAATTCCATGAAGATGAGAATTTCATATGAGTAAAAAGTCACGAATCGAATTTTATTCGAAGAAATTTAGAGAGTACGACAAGAGAATCCTTATCTTTAAATTATCATTATTATCATTATCTTAAAATAAATACAGAGAAATGAGCAAACTGTGAATTTTATTCGAAAAAATTTAGTGCAACAAGAATCTTCATCCCCCCCTCAAATTATCATTATTATTATTATATTAAAATAAATATATAAAAACGAAAAATTTCTCGTGAATTTTACTTATTATTGTAAAAGAAATTTAGAAAGTGCAACAAGAGTCCTCATCTAAATTATCATTAATATTATTGAAATAAATACAGAGAAACAAGCAAGTTCTCATAAGTTTCCGTTATTTAATTATTATGTTTGTATGGGCGCTTTGAATACGAATGAAGCAATTAAATCAGCAACTAAAACTCTCCTTTCAGCGTTCGATTCTCATAACTTATCCATTTACTGATTCCTCGTGTTTGCGATCGCACAAAAAAAGAAAAGAAAGAAGAAAAAAACCTTTAGACACCCGTTAATCAAGCGACACCGTGATCTGGATTTTAGATAATTACGTCGTAAGCCGTAATTGTAATTGCGTCTGTCGATAAAAACGTGCACACTCTTCCTTTTTCTTTTTCTCTCTCTTTCGCTTCCCTCTTCCTCCATTTCTTTTATCTTCATTGCCGCGAGTCGATTAACATGCGCATCAGTTTAAACGCTTTTCTAGGTCAGTGTTCACCGTCGAGCATGTATCACACACGTATATCGCACGTATATTTTTTTCACGGCCAGCGGCCACTCGTCGGCCGCGAAGCGTTACGAGAATTTCTCTCATTTCATGCTGACCCGAAATTAATTCGCAGCGTCGATTTTTATGTATCACCACAGCCCACGAGACTTTCCCCGTCGTTTACGCAATGTCATGCATATAATACGCGCCTGCTGGTCCGTCGCGGACAACGCATTGAAGCGAATTCGCGTCGCACGCGACGAACGTTTTCCCCGCTCTCGATTCTCCCTTTCCCGATGAAAAGATCACAGGTTGTCGCGATAAATCTCCCCGACGAGAGCGAGGGGAGAAATATCATGCCGCTAATAGCTCGAACACACGGTTGCATAACGTCCACACTTTGGATGCGTTCGAACGTGACATTTCCACCGTGAGATACTTATCCGTGACATTTCGCGCAGCATCCATAGATAAATTATTCGCGCCCGGGGATGCGCCACAAATCCCGTACTCGACGAAGGCAGCAAAGGTCAAAGGGCAGCTAGGCGAAAAGAAAATATCCGACAGCATTCAGCAGCGGGGCGCCAGGAGATCCCTCGACATTCCGCGCGCGCCTTCGGGACGCTCCAGCGTCACCGGAAAACGAATTGTCGAGGTCGCTCGATCGCGACGAGACGCGCAAGGGAAATTGCACACGCACGAGTGCGCGTGCCGCGGAAGGGCCCGTATCCTGGACACATAACGAGCGCTAAATATGCTCTTCTGAGTTTGTAAGGTTACAATAACATTATGCAGGTTGTTTGATGACGAAAACGAAGCGCCGAATCGAGCGGACACGCTCAACGCCAAATGCGCGTCCAGAATAAGGGCCCAGAATCGTCGTCCGCGGTCGGTGGCCGCGGGCGGCCAGATAGGATTCCGGCGCGTCGAGGTCGCGGCCGCGCACAGAGTGCGGAGTCCGATCCTGTTATCCGGTATTATCCGCCTCTGTGCGTAATGGGGATCGCGTAACTGTCAAAAACGGGCCAGGTGAGTCAGCGTCGGCCACAAGTCCGACTTACCCATGCTGCTCGGGCGACGGGCGTTCGCACCTGTTGATCTTCTCGACACGGCGTCTCCTCGTCGACTGAGGCAGCCGCGCCGCGTCCTCCCCGCGAGCACCGTCCGTTAGATGGGACAGGCAGTAGTGGAAGCGGCCGTTCTGTCTAAACCTCGGGCACGAAAGACTGCATACTGGAAATGAGAAACAATCGTGAAGAACTCGTCGTAATGAAGCATCTGCGTAGGAGATTTGAAATGTCGCGCGATTAAATGTCATTTGAAGTGAAAATCAATGTAGTTTTTCCAAAATAATAAGGACACAAACAATGATATCGTTTCATGAAGAACTTCGTGGAGAATTATGAAGAACTCGGCATAATTGAGCGTTTATACAGGAGATTCGAAATGTCGCGCGATTAAATTTGAAGTGAAAATCAATGTAAAATTTTTCCAAAATAATAGGGACACAAATAATGGTATCGTTTCATGAAGAACTTCGTGGAGAATTATGAAGAACTCGGCATAATTGAGCGTTTATACAGGAGATTCGAAATGTCGCGCGATTAAATTTGTCATTTGAAGTGAAAATCAATGTAAAATTTTTCCAAAATAATAGGGACACAAATAATGGTATCGTTTCATGAAGAACTTCGTGGAGAATCATGAAGAACTCGTCATAATTGAGCATTTATACAGGAGATTCGAAATGTCGCACGATTAAATTTGTCATTTGAAGTGAAAATCAATGTAAAATTTTTCCAAAATAATAAGGACACAAATAATGGTATCGTTTCATGAAGAACTTCGTGGAGAATCATGAAGAACTCGTCATAATTGAGCATTTATACAGGAGATTCGAAATGTCGCACGATTAAATTTGTCATTTGAAGTGAAAATCAATGTAAAATTTTTCCAAAATAATAAGGACACAAATAATGGTATCGTTTCATGAAGAACTTCGTGGAGAATCATGAAGAACTCGTCATAATTGAGCATTTATACAGGAGATTCGAAATGTCGCACGATTAAATTTGTCATTTGAAGTGAAAATCAATGTAAAATTTTTCCAAAATAATAAGAACACAAATAATGGTATCGTTTCATGAAGAACTTCGTGGAGAATCATGAAGAACTCGTCATAATTGAGCATTTATACAGGAGATTCGAAATGTCGCACGATTAAATTTGTCATTTGAAGTGAAAATCAATGTAAAATTTTTCCAAAATAATGACACAAACAATGATATCGTTTCATGAAAAACTTCATGAAGAATTATGAAGAACTCGTCATAATTGAGCATTTATACAGGAGATTCGAAATGTCGCGCGATTAAATTTGTCATTTGAAGTGAAAATCAATGTAAAATTTTTCCAAAATAATAAGCACACAAACAATGATATCGTTTCATGAAGAACTTCGTAGAGAATTATGAAGAACTCGTCATAATTGAGCATTTATACAGGAGATTCGAAATGTCGCGCGATTAAATTTGTCATTTGAAGTGAAAATCAATGTAAAATTTTTCCAAAATAATGACACAAACAATGATATCGTTTCATGAAGAACTTCATGAAGAATTATGAAGAACTCGTCATAATTGAGCATTTATACAGGAGATTCGAAATGTCGCGCGATTAAATTTGTCATTTGAAGTGAAAATCAATGTAAAATTTTTCCAAAATAATAAGCACACAAACAATGATATCGTTTCATGAAGAACTTCGTAGAGAATTATGAAGAACTCGTCATAATTGAGCATTTATACAGGAGATTCGAAATGTCGCGCGATTAAATTTGTCATTTGAAGTGAAAATCAATGTAAAATTTTTCCAAAATAATAAGCACACAAACAATGATATCGTTTCATGAAGAACTTCGTAGAGAATTATGAAGAACTCGTCATAATTGAGCATTTATACAGGAGATTCGAAATGTCGCGCGATTAAATTTGTCATTTGAAGTGAAAATCAATGTAAAATTTTTCCAAAATAATGACACAAACAATGATATCGTTTCATGAAGAACTTCATGAAGAATTATGAAGAACTCGTCATAATTGAGCATTTATACAGGAGATTCGAAATGTCGCGCGATTAAATTTGTCATTTGAAGTGAAAATCAATGTAAAATTTTTCCAAAATAATAGGGACACAAATAATGGTATCGTTTCATGAAGAACTTCGTGGAGAATCATGAAGAACTCGTCATAATTGAGCATTTATACAGGAGATTCGAAATGTCGCACGATTAAATTTGTCATTTGAAGTGAAAATCAATGTAAAATTTTTCCAAAATATGTAAAATAAGGATGCGGACAATGATACCGTTTCATGAAGAACTTTATGGAGAATTATGAAGAATTCGTCATAATTGAGCATTTGTACAGGAGATTCGAAATGTCGCGCGATTAAATTTGTCACTTGAAAACCAATGTAAAATTTCTCCAAAATATAGATCTATAAAATAAAGACGTGGATAATGACATCGTTCCATGAAAGACTTCGTGCATTGAAAAATGATATTCTTGTTTCTGTAAAAAATTTTCTAAAATAGGCAGCAAGTAAAATATTCTAAACATAAGATTTATTCCTGTCAAAACAAGAGGAATGTTTAAAATATTTTACACTTAGTGCCTATTTTAAAGGACTTTTCTATGAATAATATCAATTTTTCAGTGTAAAGAATCATGAAGAACTCGTCATAATTGAGCATCCGTGTAGAAGATTTTAAATATCGCGCGATTAAATTTGTTATTTGAAATGGGAACCAATCTAAAATTTCTCTAAAATACAGATCTGTAAAATAAGGACGCGAATAACATTTCATAAAAGACTTTATCATACACTGAAAAATTGATATTCTTATTTTTAGAAAAATCCTCTAAAATAGGCACTAAGTATAAAGAATAAAATATTTTTCGTCACAATGAAGCACGAGATTCAAAGTATCGTGCAATTGAATTTGCAATTTGAGAAGTGAAAAAAATAATGTAAAATTAATATAAAATTTAATGTAAAATTTCTCTAAAATGTAAAAATATATATGATAAAAATGCGAATAATAATACCGTTTCCGGCTTAGGCTTTTCGCGTTCCGGGGCCTCGGAGTGTCTTGATCTGCCACTGAATACAGGATGCTTCAAGTATAAGAGTTCACTATTGAGGAATCCGTACGTTTCATGGACGATCGACACCGCGCCGAAGTTCTTTCCTTTTATAGAAGCAGGATAAATCGCTGCGCGTCATCCTCACGGATCGAGTCGATGAAATAATTGAAGAGCTAACTGAAGGAAAGTAGTGTATACATTGGGGAAGATAACTTGAAAACATGTTGCACGCATGAGACATTTCTTCTAAGTAAAAATTGCGATTCTCTATACATAAATATTATAATGTTAATAGATAGCAAAGTTGTTTATAAAAATCGAAAAATGCAACCGGATTTGGATCAAATATTCATTGATAAGACGCTTACTTACTTCGAAATCCTCATTTTTCCAACGTGCAAAATATCGTTTTCACTCAGTATTCTTCAACCATTCTCTATTTAATCAAGTTCAGTAATATTGTACAGTAATATTCAGGTGTCAACGAATTTTCGGTAAGCGGAGAACTGGAAGGTAGGCGTTATGTGGGCAGGCAACCTTGGCTTTCCCTTATCCAGTCAGTTATATTGTCATCACTACTCTTAGCATATGGAAGTTCAAAAAGAACAAAAACTGTTTTTCTTTAAAAAATATTCTTCAAAAAATCATTGTACATATTACATTACATACATACACATGCTGCGAGTTTATATAATTATGTATACGTATAATTATGTTGTATAATTATGTAAACAGCAGTAGATTTTCTACACATTAGTATAGCAGTAATACACAATTGTATAACAATAGTTATACAAAGTTTACTTCTCTACGGATTAGTTTTTGTCGTAAGTACAAGGATGGATGACTGAAAAGTGCAAATGCACTTTTTTTCTGAAAATTATATATTTATTTTACATAAATAATAATTCTTCTGAAAATATTCTGTGTATAAAAATACCTCATTTCTGTAAGAAATATGCAATAGCGTTTTTCGTGAAAATATATGCTATATACATACATATATATATATATATATATATATGTGTGCGTGCGTGCGTGCGTGCGTGCGTGCGTGCGTGTGTGTGTGTGTGTGTGTGTGGTATACACAAACTTTGCGTGGGAGACCGCTGCGTTTTTTAATTAGGGTAATTTGTCCAAAAAATAAATACGAAATAGTTGCAATTTCTTGATAATAATATGCTTTCAAAAAAGACGTTCAAATATGCTTTCAAATATCAAAGGAAACGTTCAAATATTTCAGTCACATAATAAACATTTTGTAGACCATTACTTTATGCTTTCCACTACAGTATTATAAGCTATTTGTATTTAAACCAAATTTTTGTTTTTTTTAATCCAATTCGTTTTATTAAGTCTTCAACGCTGCGAAATTTCAAATACCTCGTAGTATTTATTTTACACCTTTAACTTTTGTCTGTTTTCTATCTTGAATAATACAAGTTGCTAAAACCTGTTCCATTTGCGCGTGACGCAATACATATATATATATATATACATCGTTTCAATTACTTCATACGTAGAAAATATATCACTGAACGTTTCTCATATGATCCAAAGAATACAAAACTATAATGCAATAACTACAGATAGATAAGTTCAAACTATTTTTTCCAATATGATTTGATTTTAGTATAAATTGCCCAATTATAGTATAATCGCTGCCAGCAGCTTCTTAAATGTAATCACCCTGTAATGTAATATTTGTATTTTTACAAAAATCTACTGTATATACGCTTGAAGAGACAATCAAATAAGATTTCGAAATTTGCGTACTTACAATCTCATCAAAATCAAAATCGCAGATATCATCATCATCGTCGTCAGGTATATCTTTCGATTTGCCGTTATTATCTTTTCTAGTCTCTCCTGCTTGTTCTTTGCTTGACTGCGCCGCGTTGTCTTCGTGCATGTCCTCTTTGTTAATTAACGCATCATCCTCCTCTTTCAATTTTTGACGCCTGAACGTGCTCGAAATGCTCGTTTATTACACATTTACATCGAGTCTAGTGTCAAAAAGTATCAATTTTATCTACAAACTCTCACCTCTTGGTTTTTGAAGGTATTTTCTTCAACATGAACAAATCTTTGATTCTATCAGCCGTTAATTTGCATTTTTCTTTCACAGACTCGGGTTGCTCCAACAAATTCTTCACATCCTCAGTGATGGGCGGCAACGGCTGATCCGGATGCAGAGCGCGAGCTGCCAATATATCCCACATATGTTGCGCACCAGGATCCGCCATACATTCTGGCAAATATTTCTCACCGTCGGCAATCGAGTCTTCGTCGGCGCTGCTTGAAGAAATCAATGAACGATATCATTATTTTGTTACCTTGTAATTTATTGGCACTAACTATTTTTACCCTTCAGGCAATTCTAGAGACGTCAATAAGTCGTCTATGGCGTCGCTCTGTTCCTCCGACAATTGCTTCATCATGAATTTTAACGGACGCTGCGCTATCGCTCCATAATCCCGCTCGAATGGTAAACCAATTTCAATAAGACACTATGTAAAAAAATATCGTCTATAACACTATTCAAATAATAACAACCGCAGCAGAAATAATGAACAGATTGCCCTTCCCCAAGGCTCATTTGATCCTTACCCAAGGCTCATTTGGATCATCGACACTCGGAAATAACGCTACCATGTTAGCTTCCGTGTTCTTCCTATAGACTTTCTCCACTATAGCAACTACGTTCTTCTCAACCATGGCTTGCACCAAGCTATAAAATGGTGCGCTCACCGACTGCGAAGATTTTTATTGATTTTCATTTTACGTCATTAAACTTTATTTTAAGTCAGAGTTGTACTGTAGATTTCAAGATTACGTCTACACGGACTGTTTAACTATTATTTATGTCATCAATGCACTTCTTATGTAGACAAACTATGTAGAATATTGCAAATTATATTAAAATATATACGAAAAAAAGTATTTGAATTATAAAGCAGTTACTCTATCTGTTCCAAAAATATTAATTATCAATACAACATTAAAAATAGCAGCAAGATAACAAACTGCATAAGATTTTCATTTCATTATATGACAAATTGGTAAATTTAACTCTGAAAGTAATAATCTAACTAGAGAACTCTGTGAAGTTTAACTTTGTTTATGAGGCAACATTTATAAATTTATCAGAATTCTAAAGATTAACTTAAAATGTAAATTTTTGTTAAATTAATTTGTTAATAAATTATACGTTTTTTAAACGATATTTATAGATTATTGAATATCTACATACATAATATCTCATACATATAAGCTGTTAATCGTAATGGTATCTATTATTTTTTACTCATTACAATGATTGGGCAGGAAAAAGTTCTAGATGTAATTAATTAATTTTGCAATAAGATATAATAATAAAAATTTTGAAAACAGTCTTTTTCGTTAGAAAATCAAAGTTACTTTCACAGTCTTTTTCATTAAAAAATCAAGATTACTTTTACTTATTTTTTTAATGGAAACATATCTTTTTTATCCGTAGTATTATAAAAATTCAATAGTAATTTTCATAATATTATTTTTACTAACATTTAACAATAAAAATATAGACACAGAAGATAATATTTAGAACATCATCAATGTAATCAATAATGTTAGGTACTTAAGTCATGTATGAAATATAATTCATTTTCTGCAACACAAAGTGTTTTGCTCTTTGTAATAGAATTTTATGTCCTATCTATTAGCATATTTTTTACATAGCATATTTGTTTTGATCCTCTTTACCACGAATAAAAATATACGGTTTCATTTAAAAAAATGAGTATGACTTTTTTTATGAAAGTGAACCTCGATTTTTTACGAAAGAAAACGTTTCCGAAATTTGTATTATTCTATTTTATTGCCATTTAAGAAATGATTATTTGTATTTAGAACTTTTCCTGCCCAATCATTGTAATTTGTAAAAACATGATGGATATCATTATGTGTGGTAAACATATATAATTAATATTTGTCCACACATGGATTTAGAGTATCATAATTTATGCGTAAACGCTTAATCCTGCTTTAACCGAATGATGAAGATAACTTCGTTATCGTACCTCGTCAGCAGGTACAATGACGTATGTGCCATCTGACAACCAGTATTCCATAGGTACATTTTCTCTTGCGGTAAAGCCGTGTATTTTATAACATTTTTCATTAACTTTCGGAGTCATGGCCTTCTGACAATCATCTGCGATCAGCACAACATATTCAATCGTCTGAATCTAAATTATATATGGCAAGACGCTAAGAACTCAAATACAAATTACCTGAAACGGGAACAGCCTTGCCACCATACAGGTAGCCACGGATTATATCTTCTTTCGTGTGAATAGTCCTATCTTTGTCGGTCCACTGCGCAATGTTTTTTACTAGTACTTGCTGCTCTTCCATATCAGGTGTAGTTGTTTTCGCTACCAGTTGCATTTTTGGTAATTCCGACTCTTTCGGCGTCTGATGAGGTAAACGACGTGTAACAATATATACGGAGATATGTAATCAATTAATTTATTTATTAGATTAAGAAGCTGTCTTTACTTTAGAAATTCCAGCAATCGGTATATGAAAGTCGCCTAATTCCATGTTACAACGCCATGGCGATGGTCTAGTTGATGGTCGTCTATAGAAACGTACTTCTGACATAGCGTGCTCAAAAGTACGATACTGGCCATTAATCTAAATAAAATATTATATATTTGTTATGATTGTGCGTATATATTGTTGTAAATAACAAGAATATATTAAAATATATTAAATAATATATTAAAATATATGAAAATAATAAATTAAGTATACACGATATCTAGCAAATACACATGTCCTGAGAATTACCTCTCTTAGAACATCTTTAAGCAATGCTTCACTGGCTGTGTAAGAATCTTCATCTATGTCGTCCAATGATCTCTCTCCACTACAAACATATGTAATTTTTGTTTCAATTCCTAATTAATACCATTTTATAACGATTATCAACAACAAAACCAAGAATATCAACATAACATACATTGCTATGAGAAAAATATTTTCTGAACTTAATATCTTTGCAATGTCATCAACTTGAAATTGGCTCACAATATCCTCATCCTCATTAAAATCAGATAACAGCATTATTTTTCTCTCAGATGCATCTCTGGAATAAAAACATGTGATAATATATAATAAAAGCATGTGATAATATATTTAAGAAAATATTTTATATTTTATTTGATTGTACTTACACACATTCATGTTTTATATATTCAACTGCAGCATAAATTGCTTCCATCCAAGAAGAGCTCTGATTTGTAGTTTCTAATCTATCAATGCTTTCTATCAAATCCCAGTTCCCAATTTGTATACTGCATAATTCCTGTATATTATCCAATCCTGTAATACTGTCACTTGTACTTGACTCTGAACCCATCAATATTACACCTACTTCATCTTTTGGGCGCAGAAATATCTAGAGGCAGAAATTACTTTTTTGTGAGAAAATAACAGAAATGTAAATGTTAAGAAATTCAACGATTTAACAATTAATAGTTAGATTTAACAATTATTAGTTAAGAAATTCAACGATTTAACAATTAATAGTTACAATAAAAATATACCTTCTTTTGAATAACATGTTTAAGAATTAACTTTGCTTTATCTAGCAAGCTTGAATTACTTTGTGTACCATAACGGACCACACCAATATTCACAAGAAAAATTAAACTTTCCTAAAAAAAGCATAAAATATATAAATTTACATATTTATATATTGCTTTGTAAAATTACTTAAATAAAAATCAATATCAGAGAATTAATATTTTACAATAAAGTCTGAATAATATAAAAGATTGTTGCACATATTTTATATATTAAGTAAAAATGAAAATTACAAAATATATATTAGTATATAATATATATTTTCTAAAAAAATACATTTTTATATAGTCTATACTTTTATGTTTTATAAAACACCACATTTATTCTTCTTTAAACAACTTAATTTCCCTTATAAAAAAACCTTGATAAATAAAGAAAATAACTATATATTCTTAAAATACAACCTTTAATTGCTTCGGTGGCATCTTTATGCAACTATCATCAAATCCAATTAATCTGTAATGAAATAATTATAATAGATTTCACGCTCAAATGCCGTATCAACGCGATTCCGAGAACTTAATCTCTATATTTTGGGTGACTTCACAGCGGTTAATTTAAACGTCAAAGACGATTCTAACCTAACAAAAACTAGCCTAACCCGTACCAACGAAATGTCACATGAAAATGCGACATGCTGTAGCTATATTTACGGCGCATGACGTATATACGTCAACTTCAATCACCTTCTGCTTACGTGCCTGATTGTTTCTAAGTAAAACACGCACAAAAATGATAGTCAGAAACGCACAATTTATTCTTTTATTAAATTTGGGTTTAGTATCGATCTATACTGCTGCTGGAGAAAATAAATATTCCGCCGAAGCGAACAAAGCTAAAGATGTAGACTCCTCACAGTTTCCAATTTCTCTCAGAGATTTGGATAAACCGTTCAGAATGGCAAAATTAAATGTGCTTTGGGTCAAGGCGAAAAATGTAAGTGTATAAAAAATTATATAATATCCGTATGATTATATTAAATATAAAAAAATTTTTGGAACTAAAAATATGTTATCTGATTCTATGTTCCAGCGTCTGACAGATACCAAGCTGCAGTCAATTTTCAGTGATTTGAAGATTCACGACAAAGAAGAAATCGCATATAAGCACTTCAAGTCTGATGGAAAAGATCCTGAAGGCTTAGAAGAAGCACGCCTAAGAAAGAAGCTCATTGGTAATTCTAATAATTTAGCTACTTTAATATTTCTTCTGTTGTGCCAAACTTATCTGTATATTAATTTCATTAAAGGAATAATGAGCACATATGGTTTGCTGGAACATTTTGCTGACACAGAAAATCCAGAGTTACTTAAAGTACACAAAGCACTGAATGATGGCAGCAATTATGTTGCTCAGGATATCTTTAAGGACAAAAGGCTGAATAAATTATGGGCTAAAGCTAAAATGGCTGGTTTCACTGGTACATAATACATAAGAAAATGAAAATTTTAAAAGTTAATTTTAAAGTTAATTTTAAAAGTTAATTTTAATTTTAAAGTTTTAAAATTTTTGTCATGAATTATAATTACATCATACTTATATCTTATTCTAGATGAGGAGCTTGATGCTTTAAAACAGGAATTCCATCATCACCAAGAAAAAGTGGATGAATATATGAGTTTATTGAAAGATCCACAACCTGGAGATTCAAAGTCTGAAAGTTAGTCTTTCACATGTATACGCACGTGATGTATTTTGTTCTTTTGTTTTTATAATTTATCTATCTATGTTTTTAAATCTATCTGTTTAATATTTTTAGATCATTTACATCTCAAATCAGAGAAGTGGAATGAATTAGAAGAAGCAGAGGAATTATCGAATGATGTACCAGAGCAGAAGTTAAGTCACGAAGAAAAAGCAAACTTGCTTCGGTACATATATGTTGTAATATTTTGCATATATTAGTATACAAATTGTCTTATCACAATCTTTATTCCAGGGAAAAACACTTAGAATTAAGAAATGGATTTGATCGCTTGGATATACTTACTGCAAAGGGACCAAACCATAAAGAGTTTATAGAACCTAAAGTACAGGGATTGTGGAAAATTGCACTAGAAGCAAAATTTTCTTCTGATGAACTGGCATCATTAAAGGTATAACATGTAATCCAATTAAAGTTTATGAAAACATTAATTATAGTGACATTTTCATTAATGTGAACTTGTGCGTATTTTAGGAAGAACTCCTACATTACGAATCGAGATTACTTAAGCTGCGACATCTTCACACTGAAGGTGCTCTAGAAGCAGCTCGAAAAGGACAACTTCATGATCTAGACAACTCAACTGCAGAACAACATATAAAGAAACACGTTAGAACTGTACAAAAACTTCATATGGATTTGGAAACCAAAATCATGCAGAGGCATACAGAATTATAAGAATGGTAGCTACTTTAAAAATGTTAAAAAATATATATATATAAATGTTATACAATGAAAAATAATCGTGTTCTTTATAGAAATGTTTATATCTAAATGATTTGTCTCATCTATTGATATTTTTCTTTAAAATAAATATATACATATATAATCTGTACTAAATATAACTGCATATTTGACTCTTCTTTCCTAGATCTAATAAGTTAAAAAACATCTTATATATTTAAATAAAAATAAATAATTTCTATAAACTCTATGTAAAACAAACTATAGGGAATTATGTCCTTACTTAAGACAAGTAAAACATGGAAGTGAATGTTTCTCGAGTATATTAAGTTTACTTAGCACTTTTAAATTACTAGCATTACTATTACAACCCAGTAGCAACTTTACTACTATTAACCTTCTTTTTCTCTTTTGATTTCATATCCTTCGATCCGACTAACTTCTCACACTCACACCAAGGTGTGTTTATTTTATCACATTGCAAGGAAATGTTGATCACTGTTAAGGGAGTATCTGATATAGTCATTTTAATCGTGTCTAGTATTTTATACGAGACATTATTCAAGCCAGTCTGCCGGTCGCGTTTTCTAGTAACTTCTCGTTGATTGTAGCACTTCACCATATCTCTCTTTCTATGATTTCTGTCATGTATATGCCTGTAATATATATATCTCATGTTACCAGGCTAAAGTCTCATAACTTTCCCAGTTTTTCTATTGTAAACTTGGACATTAAAATAACAATCAATATGTTAATATTGCTACAACAAATTAACTCACTTAAAAGTATTATGCGTCCCTGTTGATACGTTCTGGGGTCGACTGATACTTAGACCAGCCTCTTTTAGTCTAACATAGAACTCATCGTCCTCAAGACCCCAGCCCCAATATTTGTTAGACATGCCGTTTACTTGTTGAAAGTGTTCTCTGCGTATATCAAAAATCTTTTTTATTGCTGAGGCAAATCAATATACCATTAGCATCTCTTCCATCATAGTTTAAAGTGTACCTTTTAATGAGCAATATGCCACCTATGAAAGTGTAATAATGATACCGGGGATGTAAGTCTGGTGACGATATATGATAGGGTCCTATACTTGGAAAGGCATAGGATAGCTGATCATTCATGGGCAATAGATCTACATCGTGCATTGCAATATAATCAAATGCTTTTTCTGTCTCAAGGAAGCCTACATTTATGAGAGATGCTCGATTGAATCTATATCTATCCACCTATAAAAAAAATATACATGAGTTCTAGATTTAGAATAAATTATTATTATTATTATCTTTTCTGTGTATGCATCTTCTATGCTACAATACCTGGTTCAATACAAATATATGATAATTTATATCCTGTTTGTCCAGAAATTTCTGCATATGTGGTACAAATATCAGCAATTCCTCAAAACGATCTCTAAATGGCACCAATATAGCCAATCGATGCTGAGAGGCTTTTTTCTGTCTGCTAGCTTCATCAGTCACTTGTTTAAGATGTTGATTTGCTTGTGCATTTGTTTCACACTTGCACTCATCTGGAACACAACAATTACATTAAAAGACACTGTTTCTAAATTGGGCAACTTTCATCATCTACTATTAACTAACCAATGCTGATGGGTGCTATGCTGATTATGCAGGAAGTGACAAAAGTGATCAGGATGCAGACAAAGATGTACTTGAATCTTATGCTTCTCCAAATGTTACCCATGCTGAACAATGCTTATAAAAGGAGTACCTCAGAGAGTGTATAATATCAGAGTTAACCAACAGTTATATTGTCCCAATGTACTACCAATGCTTTAGAGGCATCTTTTTCATTGTCAAAAGCTAAATATTCTCCTCCCTTCCTTATTGTTTTATGATATGTAAACATTCAATATATGTATAAATAGACCATTAAGCATAGAAGCAAGATATACGCGAGAATAATTATAATTTATAGTACAATCTTGAAATTATTCTCGCATTTGTGTCTTATTAAACGCGCAAATTTAGACAACGTCCAAAAATTATTGCAAAGTACGAGCAGTATTTTGTAAGAGGCGCATTTCTTCCGAACGATACGGAGGAAGGTACAAAGAGATGCTCTTTAAAAATTGGCTCCGCCTACAATCACACACTCGCATCGTTCTTTCTTCCCATTCGAAAGACATGTATAAGTTATTCATTCAGCGGCACTTCTCCGTCCTTATTGACGACAGAATCTCTCGCGCGCGCGTCCGTACGGAATGTACGAGTCTCCAACGAACTCGTATACATCCTGCACTCGTCCGACTCGCGCATCATCGTATTTGATCTTGTTCAAACGCGTGCCATTTGTACCACTTCGCAGGTGACCCACGGACACGACGTGATTTCGGCCTGCTCCGATCACCTCACACCTTGAATTCGCACGTTCGTGCGCGTTAAAAATGCGTTCGAAAATGAGGTTTACGTAGGAATCGCATGCAAATTAACACAAGGGTGTATGTGCCGCTTGGACGAATCTAAATCAATCGAGAAATTTCGGTGTCACATGCATATTTGATAAATAAAAGTTCGTTTAATACGTCGTTTAACGCGCCAAACACGTTAAATATATCGAAGACGACACACGGCTGACATGCTGTTGAGTTGTATTTCTTGTAGATAAATAGTCGTTTGTCATGAATTATATATTTCTTAAAAATAATAATTTATATAAATTTGTATTGCTTTTAAGTATAAAAAGCCATTCGATCAGCTGTCAAGACGTATTGCTGCAAAATAAAAAAGTTGACTGACTTATCGTTGAGCCGTACTACGAGTACCAATTTGTGGGCATAGAGACTCTTGAGTAGAGACTAGACATAACGGGGTTCGCGTGATGGTGTACGTGACTTTTGCTCACAAAATGGCAGTGCCAACATAAATAGAGTGAGAAAAAATATACTCGTCTCACTCTACTTATTACACTAATGCAACAGTGCAGCGAAAAAATACAGACCACGCACTTCTTACGAGCTTACGTATTGACGGCCACCAGTTTGTCTAGTCTCTCTTGAAGGGTCTCTAGTGGACAGAGACATTGGGTGCTTCGCAGTTGCGTACACTGTGTTACACAAAACCAGGATACCTATTGGGTGTTTACGATAATTCGAGTTGGAGTTAGTACGAATTAGTTTCACTAGGGCTGAAAAATATGATAGTCACAAGCATCTAGTATTTTCATGATTCATGACAACTCAATGCTGTCCGATAAATCGAGTAGAGTAGAGTAGAGTAGAGTTAGGGTAACATAGTGGATAGTATATGTATAAAAATTAACAGTATCAGGTAACATAGTTTCGTAAAATATATAACAATAATATTACTAAACAATGAGTTGTTGCATTTTAGAAAAATTAGAAGCACTAAATTAAATTATGAAAAGGTATCATGTATTTGTGAAATATCCAAAAGTAGAAAACAATTATTCTAACCTATTATTATTGAATATTTCACAAATACATTAAATTAATATCATTTTCATAATTTAATTTAGTGCTTCTAATTTTTCTAAAATATAATAAATAATTGTTTTGTAATATTATTGTTACATATTTTACGAAACTATGTTATCTGATACTGTTAATTCTTATACATATACTATCCGCTATACTACCCTAACTCTACTCTACTCTACTCGATTTATCGGACAGCATTGAGTTGTCATAAATCTTGAAAATACTAGATGCTTGTGCCTATCATATTTCTCGGCCCTAGTGAAACTAACTCGTACTTAATCCAACTCGAATTATCGTAAACAGCCATTATGGACTTCTTCGGAATCAATTCCGATCGGAAAATTCCGTTTCCCCTAGAAAAGACAATAGAAATCTAAGAAATAACTGAATGTTTCCGATCGGAATTGATTCCGAAGAAATCCATAATAGGTACCCAGTTTATTGGTTACCATATTATTTTACAAGATATTTTAGATAATATGTGACCAATAAACTAATTTTGTATACATGTGTGTCAAGTGTGTTAAGCAATTGGAAAGCACCCATTGGTGCCTCGCAGCAGAAACTTTGGAACTACGCTTTGGGTAAATAGTCGATTCGCTGCCGAAATGTCATTGGTTCGTACCGGCTGCTTTAATTGAAACCAGACATTTAAGTGAAGTGCCGACTGTTTTGCGGAGAGAAGCATGAGCGGTCACCAGTCTGATTTTAATGGCCAGAGCTAGGCGCATTTTCTAGATACCATCTAACAAAATGCGTCTTTACTACGTTCATTAGGCGCATTTTCGCTGTGGTAACGATAAAATGCGCCTGGATTGTGCTCGTTGTACCAGAGAAAAGAAGGAGAGGGATCATAGGCCGGTTAGCTGATCCCGATATCAGTTGAATGGTTACAGCGCCTCTAACCAACCGTGCACATAAACTACGTAGCCAATGTGCACGAATTGTCTCAGTGGGTAAAGAAGTAATGTCCACGATTCTTGACGTTAGACAAAGACAGATAATCAACACTATCTGTTCTTGCCACAGGCGAGCAATCACAGCGGTAGACACACACACACATACACACAGAGGCGAGTTAGTGGCGATCTTATCGTTAAAGAAACATCTCGCTCAGCTATTGACGCATTGCGTTGTAATTCCGGAAGAATTTTCAGGTTTACGTTTTCTGGCCATTGTAACTGAGGAATATTTTGCATGCCCTTATAGAAATATCATACTAAGAATAATTGATAATTACTTATTATCCAGTATTTTTAATACTGAAAATAAGTAATTATCAATTATTCTTAGTATGATATTTCTATAAGGGTGGGAACACTGAGTTAGATACAAGAGAAGGAAATAATTTTAATTTGAGCATTATATGCAGGTTTTTACATACCGCTAACATTTATTGCTTATTTCTCGGCAACTACAAAATATATTATGTCATTCAAAATGATATTAATGTCATTCAAAAAGCACTGACTTCCCAGACGGCACAAATGTTCAAAATCGATCTCATAAGACGTCTTTAAGGCAACTTTAAGACATCTTTGGGTGCGTTCAGATTCCTCATCCGGGTGCACTCTATTACTAGAAACACTATAATATATGTGACATATACTATAGCACTTCTAGTAATAGAATACACCCGGGTGGGGAATCTGAACGCAGCCTTTAAGATAATACTTTATAAACTTGTCTTAAAGGCAACTTAAAGTCGTCTTAAAGACGTCTTATGTCCCATTTTTAGGCATTATGCTGTCTGGGTTTTCAACAGTTTATTCTATTGGTATAAGTGTTTTATAATAGTACGAATAATATCACTGCTTTAGGTAAAGCGTGGAAGCACGCATACGTCTCAACTTAACAGGCAGACTCTTATATATACCTACCGACTTTTATCTTTTTATTTCTTTTGAGGACAAAGTATCACCTCACGTCGCTATGAAGCTAATCCGATTACTGCTGAGACAGCTTTTACTAAAATCTGATTAAGCTAGGGAATTTTTTGAAATGGGTCGATTGAGTACCACTGTTCATTTCCAATCCGACAACTTATCGTAAACACCCCTAGTGAAAATTATAAAAGTGAATTCTCACTTGATTGATTAACTTTCACTATGATAAAAATGCGACATTTTGCACATAATATTGCTCGACAAGTAATTCCTTGTCGAATAACATGGAATAAAGTCCATTTAGCGCTGCAAGAGGTTTAGAGCGATAAATAGACCAATCATATTTATTTGACACTTTAAAGCCAGTGTATAAAGTGAAATAGTTGCATATAAGAACGCTTACAAAAAAAAATTACAAGAATACAAAAATATTATTGGCATACTATTGATAAACTACACTTCGGGTGCTTTCCAGTTGCGTACACTGTATCACATAAAACCAGTTTATTGGTTGCATATTATCTTACAAGATATATTTTTCAAATATAAAAATATACATATACATTTTCTTAAAAATTTTACTTACGACGAAAGTAATTGCTTATTCTATTTTAATAAGAGAATTTAAATTTACGTAAATGTGTTATAAGTAAATATATATTATTAATATTCATCAAATGAATTTTTTTTAATTTTCTAAATACTTTTCCTCTCAATGTGCACTAAAAAAATCTTTAAAGTTTATTTGTAGCATATAAACTTTATTCGCAGAAATAAACTTTACTTCACAGAAAAAAATAAATTATATTTCGCAGAAGAAAATATTCAAGTATTTTTTTCTCAGTGCAGTTCATCGTTCACGACATTAATCTATTTTCGCATTTGACGTCACAGCTTTATCCGAAACAGAATTTATCGCACTAATAAAAGCAACGGCCGAATTTTTCGATTCTTCCATCGAAAGATAAAACTATATCGTCGAGCAACGATACCAATAACTCCTCGTCAAAGCAATAATAATACGTCACAAGGGTTCTGAAAGTTCGTACAATCCGCGATTTTGCGCGTGCTGTTTCGATAATCGTCGTTTCTCTTTCGTGCGAGAGATAAATCGAGGCGGATTAATTCATTCGTAGAAAGAATGTAAGAACGAAAGAAATCAACATTGACAAGTCGAACTTGGCTTCGCGACGATACTTAAGACGATCTCGCTCGTCGTATTTTGTATTCATACAACCGCGCCTCATTTCCGTAATAATTTAATGACAACGACGTAATTGCTACACCGGACCTATTTGCGCGAAAACGCAACCTTTACCGTAAATTGGAAAATTACTGCGACGGCAAGGAAAAGGGAACTGCATGTCGCGCTTGAGTATCGGTTATTTTGCAAACCGGCTTTATTCAGCACTTGAATATCTCTCCCTTTCTCTGCCTCTCTCTCTCTCTCTCTCTCTCTCTCTCTCTTTTTCTCTTTCTCTCAGGGATTAAATCCTCCTTGACACCTCTCTTCTCATCTGACTTACGAATTAATATTTATTTGTAGATTACTTGAGCTTACGATTACGTGTCGCGTTACATTTGCACCATCTGGCGAATAGTTTATTCCTCGTGTCATTCGCGTAGTCGTTCCTTATCACGGGTCTCGTGAGATAAGGTATGTCAACAGGGCGATTATTAGAATTTATCATCTGCTACTTCCGATCGGAACTGGTCGGATTACGAGCGGGAAAAATTTCGCTCACTTATCGTATACTTGTTCGTGTAATTATTTATTATCGGTTTTCCTTCAATGATTGTTTAATAACTGCTACGATCTTCATTTGAATACAAAGATTAACTGCGCGATCTGCGTGCAGAAAATTCGCGATTTCCGAACTCGAGAGAATATAGTTTACTCTCTAAATTTCTTATAATCTTAAATTTCGCTCAAAAAACATATTCACATAATAAGTATTATCACCGAATTATCCGAATTCGAGTGATTCTTTACTCATACAAAATGAGTGAAGTTCTTCACTTTGAATCGTCGAGTGTATATTTTCATTC